CATTTTCCCATAGAAAATCTTCTACCTTTGCCTACGACGTGTAAAGGAACAGTTTAATATTGGGTGTGTATGATGAAGGGTCTTTATGAGTTGCTCTCTTTTAAAAGATTACACGAATAATTATATTGTAATACTAAACCTCGGTCATATTATAGATCGAGAATACCACAAATATAGTGGTATTTTCGATCTATAATATGACCGAAAATTAAGAAATTCAGTGTGTATATATTACAAAGTAAAGTTAAATAAAACGAAAAGTTACGTTTTATACTTCTTATATAAATAAATATAAATTCAGCCATTCATTTTTAATGGAATATGTATGTCCATAAATGTATGATGTACGAAATTTAAAATTAAAACACGTTTCTTTTTACTTTCCTGGCTATTATACAGAGGAAAAGTATGGTGATCCGGCAAAAAATGGCACACCAGATTTTTACATTTTTAGTCTTAGAACTCTTCGAAACATCGAAAAATGCAAAAAAAAGAAAGTAATTNATATACTACAAATTTACATTTTTCTATATGAATTAATTTAAATTATTCAGTAGTGTATAGGCTGTGGCTATTAATATTAATTTAAAATTTTTTAATCTGCTTTTTTTTCTAAGCTTATTTAAAAACTTATTTCTTATAAATTTTCTGTAAAAAAATTTTCGATTGATAATTTTCCTTATACAGTAACGTATACTTAAGATCAGTAGTGTCCAGTACTTTTGGTCTATGATCCAAATTGCACATAAGTGGTAGGTTGGCAAATCATATATTTCAAGTACTGTACAGTATAACTCCGATTATCCGAGATAATGTGGACCGATGCTATCTCGGATAACCGAAAACTCGGATAAAACGGACGACCACAATCATTTAGGATTAAAAATTACAAATATTACAGATTTATATCTGATATCACTTTTTACATCTTATTGATTTTTATCATATATAAAAACAATAATTTTTACATCATTTATATCAGTTGCACAATAGTTTTGAGAATAAAAATGTGTATTATTGAAGTTATATTTTAATGTGAATACTTATTAATACATTAAATGATAAAAAAAAATAACTGAAACAAATCATTCTGTAATACGTGTTATCGTTTTAAACGAATTACAATATAAGAAACGTGGTGTTTCAATTACAGTTGCGGATCGGAAAATTGGGGCTTGGATAAGTTACTAGGAACTCTACTATATATAAAAAGTATTTATTGAAAAAAGTGTGTCTCCTTCGATATATGTAAAAGGATATAAAGCATTATTTTCTTTAATTTAAATTAAAAGTAAATTAGCATATAAAATATATCAAGAATTTATAAAGCTGGTGTTTTAGATCATTTATCATTAATGCTCAGATATCTTCACGAACCAGAATAAATTGTGTTGCAGGTCATAGTTTGTGTACTGCTGCTATAAATCTGCGGTATTCAAATCATTCTTTGGAATTTCACAAAGATATTTATACGACATGTTTATTTACATTACTTTCTATAAAAGTATTGAGAAACAAGAATTTCTAAACCGTATCATATGGCCAAGTAAATTCAACACCATGATGGACTATAGATATTGTAAACAATGGAAGCTTCCTTCATGGTGTTGCATTTTGCTTGGCCAGAAGTATAACTATAAAAAGTTTTATAATTTAGAAAATAAAAATATAATTCAAGTCTCTCTCACAGTCTTTATTTCTTTAAACTGTGTTAACATTTTGCAAAAATAATAATCGTTCATGAGGGTTCAGTAGATGTTAAAACCTTAATTTAAATACTTTTTTGAAATTAAACGTTAAATATGTAGGAAATAATGCTGAATAAACTATTGATTGATTAAAATTATAATTACAGTATATTATTTTATGTACTGTACATTTTAAATATAATTAAAATATTTATATAAAAATAGAACAGTAACTATACTTTAAAATAATATTAAAAATTATAATATAAAATTAAAAGTAATAAAAAATTATAATAAATATCCTTTTCAGTAATAACGAATGTAAATGTAAGAAATAAATGTTGATTGTTTGTAATTCAAAACAGTGACAAATATACTTATATGATAAATAAAACATAAATTTCAATTTTTATAAAGTTATTATGGACATATTTGTTAAAATAGAATAGTCATTTTAGACCTTGCATGTATATTAATAGTTTTAATTTGTTCCCAAGAAATTGCTTTAACGATAAAGATTTTTAAATAGTAATTCATGCGAAATGAAATTCTTATATACAAAAAGGCTAGGCGAGGATGCAAAACTTTATTACCATAATGTAATTTTGTTGTTGAGGCTGGCTTAAAAAAACACCAAAAATGGTTGCATATAGGCCTAGTAGTGAATACTGGAATCGTTATTTCAGTTGATGCATATTAATAATTTGTCAGCAAGCGAATTCGTTAGTTTAATTATTATTTCGGTTAGTAATAAAAGTATTCAATACGAGTGCTTAGAATTCGGTATTATCATTAATGACATCACTTAATCCCAGATCATCTGAATCAAATTAATGTAAAACTACACAATTATTATAAAATTATAAAAATTTTGTTGAAATATATTGAAATTACATTTTACTGCCATCCTTTAAAATTTTTTCTGCTATTATATTTTCATTTTATATGATATTTAAAAAAATGAAATTTTAAATGAAGTTTTACATAATCTTATGAAGAGGATGAAAATTTTAGGTTCGATTATTAGAAAAATTTATAAAATACGATAGTTGACAGATTAAATGTCAAGATATTTGACAATACTAATTTTATATTTAATAAGGAATTTTCAGATATTTTACTTTTTATTAGTTATTGCAGAATTTATTACAATGGGATTTAATGACCATATTATAGTGTATAATTTAAAGCGGAAAATAAAAAAGTACTATTGTGAACTAGCATGAATTTATACTGTAGGCCTACTTCAAATGAATGCCATATAAATTTTTTTACATGGCATTTAGAAAAGTAAGAAGTACAGTACTGTACACATAACAGTATAAGGCTAACGTTTATGTATTCAATGCATATCGCTGCTTTGCTTTGATAGTGACATAATTTTAAAAATGTTAACTTTACAAGGGAAGCATTTAAAAATTCTAATTGACTAACAGTTGAATACGAGTTGATAACACATGTATGATCTGTGTTGGGCATCCAATGGAGGTAGAAATATGCCATTTTACACGATAAAAGTACTGTACCTTAAGAGTTTACTTATGCAAAAAAAAGCAAATTCAGTCTTTTTTTATTGTGTCACTATCAAAGCAAAGGAGCAGTACGTTCTACGTTTTAGTTTTTATGCGTTGTCTACTATTGATTTTATAAAATTAAAATCAATATTAATACATTACGTTCTTTGAGAATTAATATAGTAACTTAATTTTAAAATTTAAGATCGTTTATAAGTTTAGGAAAATTAATTTTTCTGAGCTTATAAATGAGAAAATTTATAAAACTGTAGTTTTGAAAAAATTATTCGTTAAATATAGTTATATTCGATTACAAATTGTTAATAATCATTCAACAGTTATTTGATAAATGGCCAAAAGAATAATTACTATTAATAGTTAAATTTATCTTACACGCCCACTACTCAATTTTCGTTTCTAATGGATTATTTTATTTTGGACGTGTAACCACCTACGCTTCCATACAAATCGTCACACCTTCCTCCATATGATTGGTTTACCGAAGAGAATAAATTACCAATCAACTTTCAGATTTCTATGCTCCGTCTTTAAAATATTAAAAATATAAAGGATAAAAGGCGTATCTAGCTTACTTAGAACAATTCATACTTAGTAATTGGTTATCAATTTTACTTCTCAGTAGGCCTATGCAATGATAGTTTTCTTAGCTAATTATTAAAATATTATATTCCTCATTTGATTTCAACGAATAGATAAACTGCTAAATTAGTGAAATCGTATGATTCTGTTTATTTTTTAAATATCCATCGTTGTTGAAGGTTCAAGGTTACATTGGATTTTAGCCAGGTTTTATTGTTAGTAGTCATATTAAATCTGCACATTAATTAATTCTATAATAATTATAAAATGTATCGAACAATTTAGATTGCTTAAAAAAGGACTTAAAACATAATTTAGTTTATTAATTTTTTGTAAAAATAACTTAATTAACGAAGCGAATGTTATTTTTAAAATTTAATACGTTAATAATGAATGTCGATTTTAAATAGGATTTTAATTGGCATACAATTTAATTGGTAAAATATTTTTCTATTAAAATAGGAAGATATTTGCTATGATATGATCAAATTTGAATGCTTTTGGAAATTTTTTACCTCTTCATTTCAATATTTTCTGAATCAAAGTCTTATCTTTGATATTCGTCTTTAAAGTTCTCTAATTACTCCTGGAGCGATGTACGGGGACTTGACACATTTGTTTTTCTTATAAGGATGTCTGTTAGTCTATTTCTGGTCATCACAGAAACAATGCATTATAAAGAACTATCTCTATTGGTTGACTGCTTTCTAACTTTGTTAAATTCTTGGCTGATATCCAAACATGAACAAAAGAAATTCGCGTAAAGTTTTAAGAATGCATGAATTTCATCATTTTGCATTTAAATCGAATATATCTTAAGTATGACATAATTCATTTTAAAAATATATTTATAACATATAAAAATGTTTTAAAATATTATTAATTTCTACTATTTTAAATAAGATCGAAATCAATGCGATGTGTTTTTCCCCTTTAATTGCAAGAGTTTTATTTTCAAATTTAAAATATATTTTTTGTTAATTTATGAGAAAAATATACTCATAAATTTTTATAGAAAATTGAGAAACGATCATAAAATGAATTTTGACATTATTACCTTTTCCTTATTTTACACAACTTAAATTGAAAGAATAATAAGGCCCTTTATCTTTGAAACTTGAATAAACGTAGAAGGAAGAGCTAATGTGATCTTTTTTGCGTCATTATCACGTGTGTTAAAGAAACCAATGGTAAAATACATTGTTGAAGAAGATAGAGAAAATTGTATAAACGAGGTCTGGCCAGAATCCCACTTTACTCTGAAATTCACAGAGCAACAGATAGCATCATTGTCCTCTGTTCATCCCTAAATTCAAGAAGGAGAGATGGTGAGTTTAGAAATTATATTTTATCTTTAATTGAAATTGCCTTTATTCCGTTATATATTCTGCACCAAATAATTTATTGTATTGCAAATTACTGTTAAATAATTAAAAGAAGGAGAGATCTAAACTGCGTTTCGTTCAGTAAAATGAATGAAAAGTTTCAACCGAAGAAATTGAAATTAGATTCTTATTTTATTTTTCGGTATTTAATGTTAGGATTTTATTCAGCCACAAATTTTAGGTTTCTTATGATTCATATTTAACAATTTTATCGCGTTTATTTAAAATCCTTTATTATTTTAATATTTAAAATAGATTAAGTGATACAGAAGATTTTAAAATTAATTTTAGCTTTAATTTTCTTATAGGCCGATCTGACACCTGTTCAAGTTGAAGGTAAGATTATTATTATTATTATTATTATTATTATTATTATTATTATAGTATGTTTTTAAGTAAATAGATGGCGACAGTAGTATAATTGTAAATCAATATAAGGATTATTTTTACTATTTTCAAGTCTGCTTAAATTTCTGTAGAAGAATATATTCAGAAGTTATCTTTTATTATATTTTTGTTGATTTCATTTCAAATTCTATGAAAATAAAACGGATTTCTTGTGAAATTTCACTCATAACTGGAATCTTTCAGGCCTATATTTTCAGCATTTTAATTTAAATGTTAAATATGTGACTAATTTTATTTTTATATAGAATTAGTTTTCATTTTAATTTAAAAACAAAAAAAAATTACAGTCGAAAATGTTTTAGTATACGAAAACACGTGAACGGTATAAATTATAAATTAGTATAAATTAGATTTTATTATAAATTATAAATTTAATGGCAAAATTAAGACAGGAGTTATTGAAATTTTCACAAAAGTTAATCCTAGAAAAGTAAAAAGAGAAAAGAAAAAAAAATGAAATGGAATATCCAACATGACGTAGAGAATCCTCTTTCTTTAGTCTATGAATGTCCATTAAAAACTATTTTGGGAGAATGGAGTAACCTTATACATAAGATGTGCCAAATTTGGTTGGCGAGATNTTCATGCGAAATACATTTCAATAATACCAATTAAAATTTATGGTAATAAAATGCTACTCATTTATAAATATTGCATTAAATTTGAGATTTCAAAAAAATATCCGAACAGAAAAAAAATGAAACTAATATCTTGTTAATATTAGTTTATTTATTAATCAAAAACTGTGTTAAATTACTCGTACCACACACTTTTTATCTGTAAATTTATTTTCTACAAAAAAAAAAATATCGTATTTTTAGTTTTTATAATAATTTTTTTCTTATTTTTCAGCTTCATTCTTTGCTTGACGAGTTGCATTTTCGGTTATTTTTATTCAACTCAACTTCATCTACTATTCATAATTAAAAAGACAAATTTGCTGCTTTTATATTTTTATTACAAAACTTTATCTGATAATAAATATAAATTTCAAAAATTTCCCTATTAATTTTTGCAGAATTCTATTTTTTTTAAAGTAAATTATTTTAATTTATCTTCTTTAAAATTTTATTTTAAAATAAAATTTTAAAGAAGATAAATTAAAATAATTTACTTTAAAAAAAATAGAATTCTGCAAAAATTAATAGGGAAATTTTTGAAATTTATATTTATTATCAGATAAAGTTTTGTAATAAAAATATAAAAGCAGCAAATTTGTCTTTTTAATTATGAATAGTAGATGAAGTTGAGTTGAATAAAAATAACCGAAAATGCAACTCGTCAAGCAAAGAATGAAGCTGAAAAATAAGAAAAAAATTATTATAAAAACTAAAAATACGATATTTTTTTTTTGTAGAAAATAAATTTACAGATAAAAAGTGTGTGGTACGAGTAATTTAACACAGTTTTTGATTAATAAATAAACTAATATTAACAAGATATTAGTTTCATTTTTTTTCTGTTCGGATATTTTTTTGAAATCTCAAATTTAATGCAATATTTATAAATGAGTAGCATTTTATTACCATAAATTTTAATTGGTATTATTGAAATGTATTTCGCATGAAGCATAGGAAAATCTACAGAATAAAAATTTTATAAAAGACGATGTCATTTTCTGTATAGTTTTGGAAACCGATGAATATTTATTTATGACGTAAAAAAGCTCTAGTTACAACTTTATTTATGAAGTAATTTATATAAAATAGTATATAAATTAAAGTATTATAAGAAAACGTAAAGAAAAAGGCGGTCATCAGATATAGCAATGCTATGTAACAAATGAATGACGTATTCGAACAAATATAGAATTCGTGTTTTTAGATCTTCCTGGATTGTACTCACAGTTCTTATCACTAAATACAAAAATCCCCGTAGAAAGACATCGTTTCGAAAATCTTTTGTTCTTTATTTTAGTTGTAACTCTTATTTCGTTTGCTTTCATATCTTAATAAATAAAATTCAATAGTCAAATAATTAATATTTGGCGTTTTAATACAAATACTTATTATTTGTAATCATAAAATGATGTATTTTTGTTATTTAGTGAGAAACCTTTTTAAGCTTTTTTATATGTCAAATAACTTACTTTGGTTTGAAAGAATATTATCGATACATTTTTAAAATTATCTCGTATATAAAACATAATAGATTTCTAGGTCATCCCTTTGGAGAAAAGCTAAATTGAAACTAGATGAACATTCTCTTTCCTTTCGTTACAACATTCTAAAAAAAAGTAGGCCACTTACAGATAATATACGCTTACTTCTGCTGATGATTAGAGAATGTAAAAGAATATGATAAAAATATGTAAGACTGGATGTAAAGTCTATTACGATTGTTTGGAAAGAAATTTAACTATCTTAACATAATTCAAACTCACGTATCATTTCACAATTAAATTCACATTTAGGTACCGTTACTGTTTTAGTCTTTCATTTAATTTTTTTTTTTTTATTGTCTTCCGATTCTAAGACTCGCCTCGTCTTTAAGGTCGAATTCTAACATGCTTTTATAGGAGAAAAACTTTTAAAAAAGCAGTTTTATTAAATTTTACCGAGTAACAGTTTAAAAAAGCAAAAAAATGCTTTTAAATGTTTAGTAGCTTTTATGCCTTTCAGCATATACAATTAATTTCTTTTATAATAATGCAAAAACAATGCCGTCTATAAAACATTTTAAACATTAAAAAGGGATTTAAATTATAAACTCAATTGAACTTAACGATAGTGGTAATAAATTTTAATTATACTACTGTATCCATAGGTCAGTATTTATTATTTGTTGTAAACATTATTAAATTTGCTATAAGAAACTGCAATAGATATGAAATTTTTGATTAATTAAGGAACTAATAAGAAATAAAAAATGAGAAAATAATATATTGAAGCTGTTCGTAATAATCACGTTACTTTGACTTTACCTAAATGAAATTTGATAATATGGGAAATGCTTTATATTATTATCAACAAATCATACCAGAAACTGTTACGCGTACTGTATATTCATAAATACTGTATATTCATATGGTATTAAATTATATTTTTTTATGTTTTGTAGACAAGTTTGTAAATTAATGCAAGAAATGTTTATAAAAATAATTTTCTTCACCGTTTTAGAAGCCAGAGATCATTTTGAGATCTATGATTTCAATGGCGAGGGCAAGATTGATGCTGTCAATTTGGGTGATTGCATCCGCTCTTTGAATCTCAGACCAACTGAACAACTTATTGAAAGCTTAGGGGGTACGAAAAAGCCAGGTAAGAATAATTATCAATATTTATTTATATTTATACAATATTTATTATATTTAAAGATTTATCAATTTAACTTTGCATTGTTTAAAATACTGTGGCCTTATTCAATGATTTTTTGAAGGCGAGAAAAAGATGACCTTTGAAGAATTTTTACCAGCCTACAGTCAAGCTAAAAAAGATAAGGATTTCGGTACCCTAGCTGACTTTCTGGAAGGATTCAAGGTTTACGATAAATTGGAAAATGGCACAATGCTTATGGCAGAATTGGCCCATGTATTAGTATCTCTAGGTAATATAATAATAATTATAAATATAATGATTATATAATGTATTATATAATATATAATGTAATGCAAACTGTAATTAACTAATAAACCAATACTAAAATTTAACGCATGAATTTATTGCATAAAAAATTTATCAACATACATCTGGAATTTCATTTAGTTTCTTAGTATTTTGGTATGTAAATAACTTTTGGTAAATAGATAAATATAATAAAATTAAAGAATTAATATTAGTAATAAATGTAAGGTATATAAAACACGTATTTTGAACGTGCCTGTATGTGACGTATACATGAAATAGTATATTTTGTAGTAATTAAAATATATTACAAATTAATTTAAATTACTTAATTACATTAAAAAATTTTATAATTTAGGAGAAAGAATGACTGACGACACTATTGAGGATGTTCTGAAGAGCCATGCAGGCGAAGAAGATGAAGACGGTTACATCCATTACGAACGTAATAATTTCGAATTTTATAAAATAATTAACATTTAAAATAACATTACAATTTTATAATGTCGATGTGAATAATTTCTCTAGCATTCCTCAAAGGAGTACTTAATGGACCATACCCTGCACCACCAGAAGAAAAGTAAGCGTCGAGCCATCATCCTTCCAATCTTGAAATCCGTACAACTGGTTTTAAATGATTAAACTTTGCAGGAATCGCCAAACATGATGAAAAACATGCATTGAGAAGACATCTTAAATAATTCAATGCCGTCATCAAAAATACTTCTGAATTGTTGCTACGGATTACAAGATTTGCCTAAATTGTTGTAAACTTATCAAAATAAATAATAAATAGTCTTTTAAACGTTTCCTTAATTTACAAATTCATTAGCTGAAAAAAAAAGAGAAATTGAAAAGTAATTATTTAAAACAATACTAAGTAAAACTAACAAAGTTTATATTGCAAGAATATTAAATGAGTTAATGTTGCAATATAAACTTCTTTGATATCTTAAAACACTTGAATAGAAATAAAATAAATTGAAGCATATTTCATGTTTGTCAGTGATTGTGTGGTTTGCGTGATGTACTGTACAATAAGCAAATGTTTTCGCGTAAGTAAACGAAATGAATATTTTAAGTAAATAAATTGCTGGAATTTTTTATTAGAGAAATTTTTTAATAAAATATGAAAAACAGAATTGTTCTTATAGGATTTTAAACTACGCATATTAATCGAAATACATTTGGCCTATATTTAAATGTAAACTTAAATATTTTGGTTTTATAGAAAAATTAATCAAAATTAGACTTTACTAAAGTAAAATATAATGATATTAATTGAAAAATTATACTGTATCTGTAGAAAAGTTTAGGATGTTTCCTTACAGATGTGTTTATTACAAAAGTATTAAATGAATTAATGAATCGAGTGAAGAAATTCTAATCTGGCAGATTGAAGAATTACTATTACAAGTTTTTACACTAAATTTATAAAGCAAATTTTATCAATTGATTTTTTAACAAGAATCTATAATCCTCAAAGAAAAATAAATCTTAGTTTTATTTTTAACGTTTTTTTTCTATTTGTAATGTAAATTGCCAAAGTTAAAATCGTTGGAAGACATTTTTTGTCAATCAAAAATGCCGAAATGGCATTCAGACCAAACAAATTTGCAAAGAAAAAAATTCGGAATTCAGTTAAAAGAAAACACGCATTCAAATTATAAGCTTTAAAATGTTTTAGCTGAGTTAAAGAAAGTGAAAAAATTACTTTCAGATATTAAAAAACCAGTTGTCTATAAGTTTTTAAAAATATTTAGATTTAAATGATTGCGATGTTTAATATAAAAATAAAAGCGATGTTTAAAATGTGAAGAAAGACAATTGGAAAATGAAATAGTTTGTATCCCTGTTAAAAAATGAGTAAATACATAAATAAGAATAAGAACTAAGAGATTGCAACTTATCGTAACGAAGAGACTTTTGAAGAAGCATAAGTTGAATTGTCGTTCTATATTATATATGTCTCTAATAAATTAATGCTTATTTCAGATGAGAAACGACTAAAAAAGAAAAGCGAGAAGAGAAGAAAAAAATTGATTAATATATTAATAGAAAAATAGCTAATATTTGTTACAAGAGATTAAACAGGATTTCTACATGCCTAATTAGGCATGTAGAAATTCTGTTTCATATATTTATTGCTGAAGATTATTGAGTAGATTATTGCCTGATCAGTGGAAGGGCTATACATGTTCAATGATCTTGGACAAGAATAATTGGCATTATAAAAGACACAATGAGACAAAATAACAGAGAATTCTGACATATTATTAAACAACGTAACTCATTCAATGATTTTATCACGTAATAAGATAATGATTGCTTCTGTTAGAAAAGAAGTTTCTGAAAAATTTTTAGCAATTATTTTTACAATTTTTGGAGAAGAAAAGAATGTTCATTATATATCAATGTATCGTGTCACATCCATTTAATTAAACAAATAATAATTACTGCCTTAGTATTCTTTTAAAAGATACTATTAATGAAATGTTTTTTTAAGATTTGAAAACTGTCATAGAATTTTTTTTCATTCCGAATCATCTTATTAACTAATAAATTATTATTTCTTTGCAAGATTATCAACATTACCCAAAGGTCATTCTTGGAAAATGTTAAGTTATCTAGCTAATAACTTTTTTTTAATCTCAAAACGTATTTTAATTAATATATTAATAAAACGTAATATTGTGTACGTTTATTAACTGAAACTAGTGTTTAATAATAAATCAAATTGAAAAACCATCTGTTATCCGGGTATTAGATATGCACTAAATATTTAAAATAAATAAATATGAAAAAATTTATTACAGGTCTATTATAACTTTTATCTAAAATTTAAATAATAATAATTTACAAATTTGAATTGTTTTTTTTTTTTTTTTAGAAAATCAACGTAAAGTGTCCTATTTCCCCTATATGCAGTGTCATAAATTGAGATTATGTACTGTACTGTACAGTACACACATCAGCTATAAGGCATTTATAGATGGCATAGTTAAATAACAGTAATGGCGTCGCAGAAATAATCGAAACACATCGAAATTTGTTGAGACTAATGTAATGTTTCCTGGTGCTTAATTCAAAAGACATCAGTAATTAATAAGTACAGACGAGCTGTTTCAGTATGTAGAAGAAAGCGATGCCTGAAAAAGGTGAACAAACTTTGTTCGTTGAACATTTGGTTTTTTTATGGGATATTAGTGTAATGTTTTACGAAAACGGAGGCAAAGTTCGAGAACTTTGCCTGCGTACGTGAAAAGAAATCCGCATAAAGTCAAAACACAAAATGACTACTAGGCTTACATACTAGTATTTACTTCGAAACTTTTTCGTGCCATTAATTGAGTTTCCATTCCAGCATTACTTGTTTATTTTGGGAAAATAATACAAGCTTACCTTTTCTGAAATTGTTTCACTTTTACATTGTGGCACACTGCAGGGTTTCCTACTTCGAAACATTTCAGTTTCAAGTACACTAGGTATTATTCATTTATTACAATGAACGAACGAAAATACTGCCTACCATCTACTTGTACTCGTGCAGTTCTAAAGAAAAGTGGTTTTTATATAAAACTTTATATTTTACCGTTAATTAAATTTAAAAAGCGTAAAGTATAAAAAATATGTTATGCACTTTTAGTTCCTCCATATTTCACGAGGGGACTCATCAATATGTAAAAAAGCATTGTAGCCTGTATTGTAAAATTTCTGAAAATGTTTCGAACCTCATTGAGCATAAAAAATGCCCTCCAAAATTTAGATAAACACTAATAAACTGATAAATTTTAAGATTTTTCTGAAAGTAAAAATTTAACTGTGAATACATGTTCTTAAAATAAGTTTTAAATGTGCTTTTGATACTGGAATTGAAATTGTGCCTTTTTAAATATATTTTTAATGAATAAACTTCATTAAAAGTTAATGTAATTAAATACAATTAGATCTTTCTTATACTTATAAATGTTTGAATAATTATTCAGGCGTATATTGCAAATACTATACTTACACTTGGTGATAGTAGTGATGATGGTGGAAGATTTATCATGAAAAAAGCATAATTTTCACATAAATATATCAAATGTAGATTATATTATTCAACGAAATATAATTATTTATTTAATATTTAATTTTCTTAAAAAAGAATAATTGTACTAAGCTAGAACAATATAATGCCAACGACCCTGGAAGTTTTTATTATTTATAAAGTGAAATCTTTTATCTTGATAAAATTTTATTGCCAGTTTTAACTATAAATATTTTATAAATATATAAAAGTTAAGTTGATATTTGGATTATTATGATTAAATTTTCATTTAGTGAATTTTATGGACGCAAATTTAATTTATACAGGAATAAGCTGTGATAAAATAAGATCTACAGCAGGCTGACGAATGCAACTATTTACAGTTTGATAAATAATTTAAATATCTATTTAAAGTAAAAATAAGATAATAATTTCTTTCCTTTAAACCAGTGATTCTCAAACTTTTTCGATCCACCGCCCCCTTTGTTCCATAAAGTTATACCCAACGCCCCCTAACTCATTTTCTCTTGTGTGAGAAAAGGATTGCAAATATTCTTAGGAAAACTTTTCTATGAATCTCACACTTTGTGCCCTTACTGTACATTGTTCTCATCATCTGGAAACCATTAAATGCAATGTTTCCTCTGATCAGCCCCAATTTTACCTTTGGTCACCGTTCAATACCCTGCCTCCAGCGCCCCCTAGATCTATTCATCGCCCAGAAGGGGGCGTTATTGCTTACTTTGAGAAACGCTGAGCTAAAATAAAAGTCAATGTGTTAGAAATATTCAAGTTGTGACCTTCAATAAAAAATAAAAAATATATAAAATGTCAACATTTTATATATATTCCGTCGAATTTTTATATATAGAATTTGTCTGCCATCGCCCCTCTATATTTCCTTAACGCCCCCCAATTCTCTTTGAGCCTTCTACTGCCCCCCTGAAAGCCTCCAGCGCCCACAAGGGGGCGTTATCGCCCACTTTGAGAAACGCTGCTTTAAACGATGTATATATTCTGAAAATATATCTGCATTATATATATTTTTCTTGTTGAATATACAATATACACTATTATTTTCAAATACCAATATTGACTAATATTTAATAATGGAATACATAATAACTTTGCATTTGCAAAACACAATGCACTAATTATTTATTTATTGACACGCAATGTTCGTTCTTCGTGAACCGTCATTATTGAACACGAAATGACATTATTCTTAAGCAAATTTTAATTTTTTTAAAATTCTTATTGCTAAAAATTTTATTAAGTTTTCGATAATTGCGTGCAATGCGAAGCTATCTGTATATAATTATCAGATGTTTTTTATTCTGAAACGTTAATATTGGATACTCAAAACAAAACTATTTGTTATTGGATTTTTTATTGATTTAGAGAAAAAAGCAATTAACGATTATTTTTATATAGTTTTAAAAGGAATTTTAAAAACACTAACCTTTTGAATTTTTGAAAATGTTTAATAATTTGTAAAACAATTTTTATATGTTACAGGTAATGTGTGTGTTTACATTTTAGATACAGGAATGTTCAAGTTATATCAATTATTTATACACATAGTACTCTTTAAATTTAATAAACTTCTTTTGATAACTTGAAACTGTGTGGTATTTCTATTGTTGTTTCTAACACACAATGAAGTGTAATTTAGCAATCACTTGGCTTCCTTTCATCTTTCTTTCAGTTGATACGCGTATACATTTCGCGTTTCGGGCCTAATACGCCCTTCTTCAGTCAACTTGTATCTTCTACGCTTGGGTAATGTTCTGTTGAGTTGTATGCATTTCTTACTCAAGATGAAGTCCGCCGTATATCAAGAATGTATACGCGTATCAACTGAAATAAAGATGAAAGGAAGCCAAGTGATTTAGGCATCTGTTATGTTATTCATATTTAGTAGTATCTAGTTTCTTCCTCTTTATCTGTTTTTTTAATTC